TGATTGTTAGACTGATGAACCTCAAAGGGAAGGGGGAGGGAGGGTGGGATGAGATAAACCAAAGAACTTTTGTGCAATGACACAGACAACAGTATGGGGAAGGCAAGAGGGGGACAGGATTGGGGAAGAGGGGGTCAATGGGGGAAAAAGGGGGAACAACTATAATACGTTCAACAATAAAGATACATAAAAAAAATTAGTTTTGGTAGCCAAGCATAGTGTGTATTTTATAGTAGCTACAACTATCAAGTGAATGAAAAAAGTGAACGAAGTAAACTTGAATTAAAATTCTAGTTACTATGCTATATATGCCTCCTGGTAACAACCCAAAAGCATAGTGAAATCCTCTATTTGTATATTGCTCAGGAAATCCCAAACATGAATCAAATCTCATTATACCAAACCTGGTGACCCCGTAATTGCTGTTGTAAGTAGGCCACCAGCTGGAGCTTGGAAATGTTTCATTATATAGAATTTTTATTTTTGTTGTGATTATAATTACATGTGTTGTAATTAAATCTAAGAGCTCTTCTGAAACATGCATATATTCACAAAACCCATGAGAATTTAAAGAAAATATATAGAACAATAACCTCATGTCCACATGTTTTTTATTGCAAGAACTGCAATGCACGCAGCAATTTCCAAGATGCCTCCAGGGATTGGAATCTTTGCCTTCTGACCCAGCATGACACCAAGAAGTCAATTTCTAGTTTTAAACACTGTCCTTCCAAATGCTTTCTGATTCTACAGCAAACCCACCTCCTCCTCTTGCCTGAAGTCAGGCTCTGAGGGAAGAGAGAGAAAAGGCATTTTAAAATATGATTTTCATCCCAGAAGTCCAATTGCTTGGCAAATTAAGTTAGGTTAACTAAAAATAACTTAGGAAATTTAGAAGAAGGAACACCACACATGATTCGATTGCCCCCTAAATGCAACTCCAGGATGTTGTTCATAGAATTCTCGAACAGCCTGGAGTGACAAGCTTCTATCTAACTGCTTAACAGTTAGATGTTGAAGGACTCAACATCTAGCTGAGTAAATGGGAATTGTTAGTTCAACTAATAACCAGTTTGGTCACTTACTATGCTTGCTGTAGGGGTGGCACAGTGACTAAGGCACAGCCCCTGCCCACCAGGAGTCCTCAGAGGGAGAAAGCCACAGGGAACTGACCATTACAGTGCCCTGCACCACGCTCCCTCGGGGACAAACTAGAGAGTACAAAGGGGTACCTATCCTCTACAGTTTTATGTAAAAACCCATCAGGGCCCCCTTAAGAGTTCTGCAGCTAATCCTTTCTCAGATTTGCCCAGAATGTTTCAGAATAAAATGCAAACCTTTCCCTCAAACAAACAAACAAACAAAACCAAAAACCACACCTAATCATCTATTACTGCAATGTCTTCCCAGATTTGAGTTAGTGACCACTGGCTGCTTCAAAGCAAACAAACTAAAAAGCTTGCCTTGGTTTTCCCTATTCACACAAGTGTCTGATCTTGTTTTCATCCTTGCGTAGTTATGTGCTGTAATAATAACTTGTGGCAGTGAGTTCTCCTGGGTTACTACTATTCACTGTGAAAGGCAAAGTTTCTTTGTTTCATTGGTGGGGATTCGTGTGGGAACCATTATGCTCCTGTTAAAGAGAAAAGCTAAGTCTTAAGCTGGTTAATAGCAGTAAAAAGGGCCATTCATTGCTCTGCTGGGGAGATGGTTGGGAAAGAGGGTCAGAACTTCTGGCACATGGTCTCCAATCTGTCCCTCCATACAAGCCATTTCAGTCCTGCAGCATCTTCATCTAAAACAGAAAATAAATGTCTTTCAAAGTATTTGAAATGTCACCTATTAGGCTGATGTCCTGCAGAGGCGCCCCTTCCTCTTTGAGGATACAATGTCACATCGCGGCACCCAAAAAACATGGGGCTACCTTGGGGAGGCACCAAACAGGCAACCGTCCTAAATTCCATCAGACAGATTTGCTATCTATTTGCCAGGTCTCTGGCAGTCTTTGGAACTAAGGGTTTCAATATTTCATCACCAAATCACTGCATTTACTGGGCACCCACCTCAGGTCTGAGACTAAGAACATTAGGGCAGTGGTCTCAATATGTGGTCCAGTAGCCTCTGCAGACCCCTGCAGGGGCTCCACAAGCCAACATTCAAGCATGGAGCCCTTCAAAGTGCTAGAGAGATAAATGCATTTTAATGTCACAGGGGATAAAAAGTTCTTTGATATAGTTTCAGATTCGACCTGGCAACCAGTGTTAAACAAAACTGTCATTTGTCAAGTTTTTGTGTAGTGTCAAAAAAAAATCCATAATTATTTGAAAGGCTATTAAAATACTCTTCTCTTTTTCAACTACCCATCGAAGTGGGGCTGGATTATCTTCACGTACTTCAACTAAAAAACATCTTGTAAGAGGGAGCGTGCAGAAGCAGGTGTGGGGTTCCTGCTGTCTTCTGTCTATTAAGCCAGACCTTACAGGGATCGAGAACATGCAAATCAATGCCACCTTTCTCACTTATTTTCCTTTGTTTTAAAATGTAGTTGCTTTTCATGAAAATATGCTATTTGTGTTCATGTGTTTTAGGCATGTCATTATTTTCAAATGAATTAAGTAAATATGTTTAACACCTCTGTATTCATTTTTAATACTGTAACTATATAAGTAGATATAGCCAACATAAGCAAATCTTTGATGTCTTCAATCATTTTTTTATTAAAAAAAATTTTTTTTCTTTATCAATTTTGAGAGAGAGAGAAACATCAAAGAGAGGGAACATTGATTGGCCGCCCCCTATATGCCCTCCACCGGGGATCGGGCCCACAACCTGGGCATGTGCCCTGACCAGGAATCGAACTGGCGACCTCTTGGTGCATGGGTTGACGCTCAACCACTAAGCTACACCGGCCGGGCGTCTTCAAGAATTTATAAAGTTAAACTTCTTATATTGAGATAACTGTAGAGTCACAGGCAGTTATAAGAAATAATGCAGACAGATATCAGGTACCTTTTACTCAGTTTCCTGAGAACAATGGTAACATCTTGCAAAACTCTAGTACAACATCATAACCAGGAAGTTAACATTAGGAGGGTCACAATACAGAATATTTCTATCACAAGAATCCCTCTCATCGCCCTTGAGTAGCCACACTCGCTCGCCACCCACCTCCATGCCTTTCCTACCTGCTGGCACCCGCTGGTCTGTCCTCCATTGCTGCAATTCTATGATTTCAAGGATGCTATATAAATGGAATTATACGATATGTAACCTTTGGGACTGGCTTTTTTAATTCAACATAATTCTCTGGAGATTGATCCGGGTTTTTGAATGTATCAATAGTTGAATTTTTTAACTGCTGAGTAGTATTCCATTGTATGAATGTACCCTAGATCGTTTAGCCATTCATTCACTGAAGGACACCTGGGCATTTTCAGTTTGGGGCTATTACACATAAAGCAGATATACACATTGAGGTACAGGTTTTGGTGTAAACGTAAGTCTTTGTTTCTCTGAGATAAATGCCCAAAAGCATAATTGCTGAGTCATATGTTAATTGCATATTTTGTTTTTAAAGAAACTGCCAAACTGTTACTCAGAGTGACCATTTCAAATATTGAACTAGCCTTGTATTCCTGGAAAAAAACCCACTTAGTCAGGGTATATACTTTTCAAATATATTGATAAATTCTATTTGATAATATTTTTAAAGGATTTTGGATGTATATTCATGAGAAATATTGATCCAAAATGATTTGTTTACTTCTTTTGTCTGGTTTTGGGATCAGGGTAATACTAATTTTATAAAACAAATTGAAAAGTGTTCCCTGTCGCCCTGGCCGGTTTGGCTCAGCGGTTACAGCATCGGCCTGCGGTCCAGAGAGACCCGGGTTCGGTTCCCACTAAGGGCATGTACCTCGGTTGCAGTTTGTCCCCGGCCCGGGTTGGTCGTGCAGGTGGCAGCCACTCGGACACATCGATGTTTCTCTCTCTCTCTCTTCCGCTCTCTCCCTCCCACTCTACCTGAACAAAAAATGGAAAAATGTCCTTGGGTGAGGATAAAAAAAAAAAAAAAGTGTTCCCTGTCTTCTATTTTCCGGAAGAGATAGAGCAGAATTTGTATTCTTTTTTACACAAATTGTGGAATTCTCCAGTGAAACGATCTGGCATTTTTTTTTAAGCAAGTTATTTAGTTACAAATTCAATTTTCTTAATAGTTACAGGGCTAATCAAATGATCTATTTCATATTGAGTGAGTTATGGTAGTTTGTGTTTTTTGAAGAAGTGGTCCATTTCATCGAAGTTGTCACATTTATGTGCACACAACTGTTCATAATATTTATGTATTTTGATATCTGCAGGGTCTGTAGAGATATCCTCTGCTTCATTCCAAATATTGGTAACTTGTATCTTCTCTCTTTTTGTCTTAAGAGACTTATCAATTTTATAATCTTCTCAAAGAACCAGCTCTTGGTTCATTGATTTTCTTTATTTCAAAACAGATGTTTCTCTGTTTCAATTTCATTAATCTTTGTTCTTTTTTTATTAGTTTTTTCTTCTGCTTTCTTTGGGTTTAAGTCCTTAAAGTGGGAGCTTAGATTATTGCTTTGAGACGTTTCTTCTTTTCTAAATTTCCTTTTCAGCACTGCTTTATCAGTGTCCTACACATTTTTTAAACCAATCTAACAATTTCTGTCTGTTAACTGTCATGTGGTCCCACTGCCACCATGGTGAGGGTGGCCTCGTTACCCCTCGGTGGTGCAAGTCCTGACTCTCCGCCAAGCTGCCTCTGACACCACCCACAAGGCAAGAGGGGCTGTTGCCTCCTTACTGCCAGGCGGCCCGTATGGTCTCCAAAGACACCGTGTGTGTGCATGTGTGTGTGTGTGTGTGTGTGTGTGTGTGTGTGTGGTGGGGGGAGGCTCACAGGTAGCAGGGATGAAAATTCTGGCTCCCCGCTTGGCCTTTTTCTGACACCACCATGGGAGTGTTAGGGTGCATCATTGCAGCCTCATGGGGGTAGAACTTGGGGTCGCACTGGGCTTCTCTAGGTGGGTTTCAATGGGCTGTGGTGTTTGCCTGGAGTGGAGTGGTTGTTGTCTGAGACCTTTCTGTCTGGCCAAGCTGCTGCTCTCCTGATCCTTTAGCTGAGAGAGGGGGCTTCTGTTGGGGTTTTTGTTGTCTGCAGCATTGATATTTTCGGGTTGATGCTTCTTCACCTCCAAGTCTGAGATAATATGAGACAAGAGGTAAATCCAGGGAGGTCACCTCTGTGTCATTCCTTGGGTCCCAAGGCCCTGGACCACTCTCCCATCCTCTCTCCTCATTTCAGACCTTCCTTATGCTCATTTGACATATAATGTCCAGTGATTTTTGTTGTATTTAGCGTGAGGAATGTAGGAAAGTTTGCATATCCTCTTCTGGAACAGAAGTCTCCACAATAACTCGTTAAAAGTGTGAAAAGAACCAGTGGGTTTGAGAACCAGCGGTCTGGGGGACACAAAAAGTATAAATCAAAGATCCTCGCTCTCAGGCTGATAATCTTGCTGTGAAGGTGACACATTAGACATTTTTCATAGTTAGCTCTTTATGTTAAACTACATAGCTTAAATAAAATAAGCGAATACCAATTATAAATGATAAAAAAGATCCTTTTCTGTTTATGTTATTATCGCAGACTTGCTTTTCTGCTCCCCACCCCCGGGTAGCAGACTCCTTTACTCCGCACCATATAGCAGGTACAGGGACCATTGTTTTTTGCAGTCCACGACAGTTTACAAAGTGTTCTCATGGACATTATGATATTTGATCCTGACAATAGCCTTATAAGGTTGGCAGGACCAGTATCATCATCACCAGGGCTGGTCTTTGGCTGGCACACACCACTGCAATTGCACTGGCTGCTAAAATAACAAACTGCTTCTGTAAAACCTGCTCCTTGAACCCCAAGCATCCCCCTGCCACCTGTTGCTCTACGTCCTAGTGACTTTGCAGCTAAAAGGTTAACACTAGGCCAAGGTGAGACCTTGCTGGTGCCAGATCTGGTGCCCGAGCCCCTCCTGTTTGTCAAATGCACTGACTGCCACCTCTTAGTCTCCCTCATGAGACACTGAGGCTCCAAGAACAAGTGACCTGCTCAAAGTGTCCAATCCAGGATTTCAGGATCCAAATACGCAGATCCTTCCTGAGCCAATAAATAGACACAGAAGTATGGGCAGCAGGGCTGACCGGCAGCCCCTCTGAGGCCTCCCCGCACACCCTGCCCTTCTCCCCTGTCTCTGTCTGTGCCTGGGCATCTGCTGTTCCCCTAAATGACCCAGGACACCCACTGCAGAGCCTTCTCCAGGGACCTCAGCCCCGCTGATCTCCCTGCTCTAAACTTCCTGCTACACACCTGCCCCAAGCCCCTCACTCACACGAGCTTTTATGGAGGGGCTGGGGGGGGGCTCGCTAATGAATCATGCATGTTCGGTTTATATTGCTCCCCAAAGATCCCATGCTCCTTGAGAGGAAGGACCAGCATGGAATCCCAAATCACACGGAACACAAGGTCACGCGCACCGTGGCTCTAAAGCCCGCAGAGCCTTGAGTGGAGTGGCAGGTTCTCAGGGGCCAGCGCAGTGAGCCCGCTGGGCAGACGTGGTCACACAGCAGTCCCCGCTCCTTTCTCCTGCTGGCTCTCCTCCCACTCAGGCTCTGCCACCGGTCCACACCCACGGAACGAGAGACGGACGGCTGCCAAGCTGCTTCCCCTGTGCCCGCAGACACTGAAGGAAAGGTTTCCACGCGAGAGTTATGTGACTGGTGTGTGCTCACTTCCCGTACCATTGCTCAGGGCATACATATTTAACAATAAGAAATGACCCAGACTTTGATGAGTCCGTGGGAAAGCGGAGGCAGGTGGAGGTCGTTGACGCTGCTGAGGGGACCTGGGTCGGCGAGGTGCAGGGGGGACAAGCAGGCCAGCCGCACTGCCACAGCTCCGCTGTGCGGCCTCACGTCCCTCGGGCCCTCCTGGGACGACACCGCTGCTTTCAGAACCTGAAATGCTCGGAGCCCATAGCAGCCGATGTGGTGGGGTGACCTGTGACAGCGGAGATGGTCCCTCAGTTCTGAAGCCTGACAGGCTAGGATGACCCTGCTCCATGGCAGTGGCTGGGCAGGTATGTGAGGGGACAGTGTGGGCTGAAGAATTCCCTGTGACCTGACTTGCATGTTCAGTCTCCCAGCTCCCTGCCCCTCCCAGGCCTCTTCCTGCTCTGTCCCAGGAGCTGTTCTTTCTTTATTTTTATTTTTTCTTTATTGATTTTAGAGAGAGAGGAAGGGAGAGGGGGAGAGAGAGAGAAACATCAATGAGAGAATATTGGCTGCCTCCTGTGTGCCCCCCACTGGGGATGGGGCCTACAACCTGGGCATGTGTCCTGTGCGGGAATCGAACCGGTGACCTCTTGGTGCAGGGTCAATGCTCAATCACTGAGCCACACTGGGGCCCAGGGGCTGCTCTTTTAAGGGGCTTTGAGGTAGAGCCCACCATGCTCAGAATTCAGACCCCGTGAGTGGCCAGCTATGCACCCTGGCCGGCAGCTTGCTTCTTTCTTGAGAAAGACACCGTGAGAAGGAGGAGAGGAAAGTGAGAGGATTAAACACGAGGAGGAAGGGGAAGAGCCTGTGGGAGAAGGAAGGGGCAGAGGAGCCTGGGCCACCTGCCAGCCGGGCGGGTCGCAGCCCTGTCATGAGCACAGGAGCGGCTGGGCCGGAGGCGCCGCTGTGGGCACGGCAGACATCGCTGTGAGCACAGGGCGGCGGAACCTCCTTGTTTGCTTTTCCAGGACTTGCACAGGAAAACAACCTGAAGCCTAAACTAGCCGTCCCTGTGCAGAGTGGAAAAGTTGAGGTGACTGAAGAACACGTGTTCTGTGGCAGGGCTGGGACAGCGATGGAGGCTGACAGGCCGGCGTGGCCACCCAGGGGCGCCCCCAGAGCCCGCATCCCACGACAAAGTCCCCCTCTCTATAGGCCTTTTGCGGACAAGGCCGGATGCCAGGCGGGGCCCGGCAGGGGTGCCAGCAGGCCGGGTGTTCTGCCCTCACCCACCTGCCTGCCCCTCTGGGGACCCACCTCTGCTCTTTGACTGCCGGTAGGAGAGTCTGGTTTTACACGGCTGCGATGGAGGGCGCCTAACGTGTGGCACAAAACACCAACACAAACAAAATCCCTCTACCTTTCTCCTTTGTGAGCATTCCCTCCCCCAGGGTCGGGAGCTGCGGAGGGCAGTTTTCCCAGCAGTAATTACCTCTTGCAGCGAGGCCAGGCCGGAGGGCGGGTTCTGCTCGCGCCACGCCCACTGTGCAGCTCTGCAGCCGCCCGGGTCCAGGCCCCGCCTCCCCGCGCACCCACACCCCAGGCCCACACCCCGCGGCCCGGCTGGGAGGGCGCCTGGCCTGGGCCCCGGCTCGGCTCTCCGACCCACCCAGCCGTGGGCGGCCCAGGTGGGAACAATACCTCCTTTCAGGGGAGGCAGGTGGATCCGTTGCGACAGAGCAGCAGAGGCAGGCCTCCCTGGCGAGGCCGTTCTGGAAAAGGGAGTATGGACCTCTGTTTCGAGAGGGAAAGGCCACCAGGTGCTGTCGATGGGCCCATTCCTCACGCCACTCGCGGGCTGGAGCCAGCCGGTCCGCTGCGGCCTGGCTAACTGGCTGTTAAAATTCCAAAAGGCTTTGGTTCTGGGTGTAAATAGCGGCTGTCCCCAGCCTTGCCTTGTACCCAGCCGCTCGGCCTCCCCCTGCGAGGACCCTGGACTTGCCCGGGGCCCAGCTCCTAAGGCGCCAGGCAGGGCCCTGCAGGGACCCGCTGCCTCCCACTGGTCAGTGCTGTCGTTCTGATGCTGAAACCCAGCCCCAGCCCACACGAATTGCCCTCCAGAGGTCACATGGCCCCACGCTTCCTCCCCGGGCCTTCTCCACCTTCTTTCGCGTGATTTCTAGGGTGCGTGCTTATTTCCATTCGGGTCTTTTCTCCCTTCCCAGGAAGTGGGGAGACAGGATGAGAAAGAGGTCGCAGTGCGAGGAGGGACCTGGCTGTGTGGGCACGTGCGGGCAGGGCCTGAGGGGCACGTCTGCCACCTCCGCTGATCTGAATGTGGACAGTGAGGCCGGGTTTGGGTGGAGCCCGGGAAGCCGCACAGCAGGTTAGCATCCAGCCGGGCCCAGCGACAGGCCCCGCCCAGGGCTCAGCTCTCCTGACAGGCCCTTTGGCTCTGCTCAAACCCAGGGGTCTGGGGGCTGCAGTGGCTTCTGTTCACTGGTGAAACCCTGAAGGACAGTGGTTCCAAGCACTTGGCCAGAAGAAACCCCAAGTCCTCTAATGCAGCCCTCTGTCCCCACAAACGCACAAACCATTGGCCTTTCTTTCCAGAGCCTCCCAGGCTGGTGGCGCTGCCCGTGGAAACAGCAGTGGGGACTAGACGGGTCGGCAGCCCTGACGTGGTGGCCACTCCTGGGGTGCAGCAGCCAGGGGCTTGGCTGTGGGCCAGCAGCAGAGCTCGGGCTCATAGAGTCGGAATCTTACACAATTTGGGGGTCACTGTTAGAGAAATAACTCCAATTCACAAACACAACATGAGATGCAGGGCCTTGGCAGGAGCCCACACAAGGAAGGGGCCTTGATGTGATGCCCCATTGACTTCACAGTAAATTCACCTCTGGTGCAACGTCCTAATAAGCAGGAGATGGTGTGTGTTTGTTTCCTGGGGCTGTCCTGACAAAACACCACATGCTGGGTGGGTTCACACAACAGAAATGTCTTATCTCCCAGTTCCGGGGGCCAGCAGTCTAAAGTCAGGGTGTTGGCACGCCGTGCCCCTCCGAGGCCTGCGTGGGAGCCCTTCCCTGCCTCTCCCTGTGTCACACGGTTGGCCAGCACCCTTTGGTGTTCCGTGGCTTCAGCTGCCCCACTCTGGTCCTTGCCTTGGTCCTCACATGGCACTTTCTCTGTATGTCTCTGTCTTCACGTGGCCTTCTTCTCAGGACACCAGTGATATTGGATTAGGGGCCCACCCTACTCCAGTATGACCTTATCTTACCTAATTACATCTGTAATGACACTGTTTCCAAACAAGGTCACATTCTGAGCTCCGGAGGAGTGGGACTTCACCATGTTTTTCTGAATGTCCACAGTTCAACCCATAGCAGGTGGGGGTGGGGCAGTAGGGGTGGTGGCAGAAGCAGCGGGCGCTCTTCTGGGACCTAAGGGCTGGGAGATCGCCAGCTGCGGCTTCACTGGACTCTCGGGGTGGGAAGACATTCTGTCCCCTCCCCGGGCCACCTGGAGAGGACAGCATCTCCCCGGGACCCTGCTGGCCCAAGGGCTGCTGCTTCACCTCTACTCTTGGTGTCTTTGCTCCGTGGACTCACGGCATCCCTTTGCTCGTGCCAAAGGAACTTGGCAAGTGTGGGTGGAGCACATGCCAGAAGCTCTGACACTCTGATCACCGGTCCCTGAGAGTTCACAGCCTGGTGAAACACTGGATGAAAACTGGCCCACGAAACACCACGCCAACATGTTCCCAGCCACAGGGTACAAAGGCCAACTCCCGGGGCTTGCCAAGCCCAGCGGAAGGGGTAGATGTCCAGGTGGTTAAAGCAGCAGGTAATTTGAGCTGGAATGCGCTGTTGTTTATGGTTTTCTTTCTTCTAAGAGATTTGCCCTCTTAATTAGGTTTTGCTTAATCCCCCAAATGAATTTATTTTTGCTGAGCACACAGCAAGGGAAAGGGGGAGCTCGGAGAGAGCTGGGTGGCAGGAGGAGGCCAGGCTGGGATTAAAAACAGGCAGATTATCACAAGGTGGGTTTTTGACATACATTCAGTAACCACAACCCCAGGTCTGCCCAGCAAGGTCACCCATGGCCTGGCCTGGTCGGTTCAACATTCTAATTAACCAAATGCCAAAGAGGCCGGGCATTTCCAATGACATACACCCGGCATTAAAATGCTGCTCAATGGCTCATCCATGCTGATCCAATCATCCCTTGGCATCCTGAAGGCCCCTGGGGACATCACTTTGGAGGTGAATTGTCCATGGATACAGGGCTGTGCTTGTGAGTGATGTGGGGACTGGCTGGTCCTATGACATGACGTAGGCGCTGCTTCCTGGTCACACAGTTCAAGGGTAGAAGAGTCTGCTCATAAGAGCTGGTGGTCGTTTGGATTTTAGATTAAGAAACAATATTGTAATGGCCATTTGGCTGTGTTTGAAGTTGAGCCCATGGAACTGGTCATTGATGGACCACTTGTGGTTAGATCATGTTAGTTCTTGCTGAGCAAGGACAGGCAGGATCTGTGCTGAGCCAGCCCCTCTGCTCCTCTGAAGGCACCACTGAGACCCTTCTGTGATCCTTTGGCCTCTGGACCACCCAGCTGCGAGCTCATGGGCTTTCACTGACTGACTCAAAATGCCCACCCCTTCTGTCCCTTAGTCATCCAGACCTTGAGTCTTGCCTCCCTGTGGGGTAACAGCTTATGCCTTCCCTGCACGAGAGCTCACAGTTCCTTACAGAAAGCGAGGCTCCCTGAGCACCCTCTGACTGTCCTGCTCTCAGCCCCAGCCCCCAGGAACACTCAGCAAGCCACAGATGTCTATGCCCAGGTCTGCTGCCTTCAAAGGGCTAGACAGCTGTGCCCCCTGGGAAACCATTTTCTCTTTGTTAATCCTCACCCAAGGATATTTTTTCCATTGATTTTAGAGAGAGTGGAAGGGAGGAAGGAAGGGGGAGAGAGAGAGAAAGAAACATTGATGTGATAGAGACACAAAGATTGATTGCCTTCTGCACACCCTTGACTGGAGCCAGGAATCAAACCTGCAACCCGATATGTGCCCTTGACTGGGAATCAAACTCGAGACCCTTTGGTCCATGGGCCGACGCTCTAGCCACTGAGCACACTGGCCAGGGCTGGGAAACCTTTTCCTTTCAGCCAACACCATGCTGGAAAGGAGATGCGTGCTTGGCCTGCGGTGGTGGCTGAAAGGAGCTTTGCATCTGTTTGGTGTATGTCATCTCACTTTGGGGCTCTTTGAAATCCTAGTTGGTGATCACCAAGGCACTGAAAGCTGGAAACATCTGTTCAACAGTTACTATATGATCAATAGAAACTATGTCTATCTTTAAAAATACATTTTATTGCCCTGGCCGGTTTGGCTCAGCGGTTAGAGCATCAGCCTGCGGTCCGGAGAGACCCGGGTTCGGTTCCCGCTAAGGGCATGTACCTTGTTTGCAGTTTGTCCCCGGCCCTGGTTGGTCGTGCGGGTGGCAGCTACTCGATGTGTCCCTTCACATCGATGTTTCCCTCTCTCTCTCTTCCTCTCTCTCCCTCCCACTGTCTGTACAAAAAATGGAAAAATGTCCTCGGGTGAGGATAAAAAAAAAAAAAAAAGTACATTTTATTGATTTTTTTAGAGAGAGAGAAAAGGAGAGAGAGAGCGAAACATTGATGTGAGAGAGAAACATCAATCAGCTACCTCTCGCACGTTCCCTACTGCAGATCAAGCCCGCAACCTGAGCATGCGCCCTGATGGGGAATCGAACCAGGACTTCTCAGTCCATGGGAGGACGCTCAATCCACTGAGCCACACCGGCCGGGCTCTATTTTCACTCTCATTGCAACTCAGGGACTAGCATTTTACTCAGCTCAGAGGGGACCCTAAATAAGAATATTTAGGTGAATGAAAAGGTGAGTAAAAAAATGAGTGACATATCAAAGTGAGCGTGGTGGTAACATGGACAGAAAGGACTCGGGGGAACCACAGCACTCAGGGAAGTTCCCATGGAGGAGTGAGGCGTGCGCCGCGCAGCTGAGACTGAGTGGGATTTAACCAGGTCATGAGAAACCAGAACTATTTCTGTCTAAGATCTAGGGAGGAAGGGACCTGTGCCGGTAGGGATGTAGGGGTTCAGTCAATCAACAACTGTCTCCTGGGGCTCCAGGCTATTTCCCCATGGGACCAATTTAGAACCTGCCTTGGAAGTTGGAAGGGTTTGAGGTCACAGCAGGCCCACAGCAGAGGCCATGGGGCAGGGAATGTGATTCAGGTTCTGCTCAGGCAGTGAGTAGGTGTGTTTTATGCTCTGGAGGAGGAGGGTTAGGAAAAGTCAACATCTCTCTCCCACTCAGTACCCTGACTCTTAAGCACTTGTACTGACAGGTTTTCCACGTGAACTTCTTGAATTTTTCCTAAAGATTTTCACCAGCACCACCTACTCCCAGTGTGTCATCTCGGTTCCCACACAGACTCATCTGTTCCACACAGACTCATCGAGCGCCTGCCATGTGCCAAGGATTCTTCTAGCAATAGCTATCATGCAGCTTACATTCTCCAGCAAGGAAGACAGATAACAAAACAAGTAAAGAAAAAAGAACTACGGTAATTGCTGGTGTGAAAGGTGCAATAAGAAACATCAACGAGGGCAACCTGATAGGGAGTGACAAGGTGGGGGTGGGGTGAGCAACGGTAAATGTGGTGGCCTGTCAGTGAAGGTGGCTCTGAAGAAGTGAGGTGAGCTGAAAGCTATAGAGACAGTAAACTCATGACAAAAGTCAATAAAGAATAGGGAATAAAGTTTTGAAATAGTATCTGCTAGAAGCTGAGATTCACTGCTAATAACAAGAATTAACTAACGTGGCTCAAGTATGTTAGAGATTTATTTCTCTCACATAAAGTAAGTAGAGAGCTAGGCAGCCTCCAGATAGTACAATAGCTCATCAGGGGCCTAGGTCTTCTATCCTTCTGTTCCACCATTTCTAGTGCCTAACTTCTAGCCTTATGATCACATCATGGCTCAAGACCGCTGCTAGAGCTCCAGCCATCACATCTGAGTCCCAGGCAGAAACAATAAAAAGGAGAAGGGGTGCCCGGCTGGTGTGGCTCAGTGGTTGAGCGTCGACCCATGCACCAAGAGGTCGCCAGTTTGATTCCTGGTCAGGGCACATGCCCAGGTTGTGGGCCAAATCCCCAGTGGGGGGCGTGCAGGAGGTGACCAATTGATGTTCTCTGTCATCGATGTTTCTATCTCTCAAAAAAATCAATAAAGAAAAAGAAAAGGTATAATTAAGAAAAAACAAAAAAGGAAAGGGGTAATGGGGGCACTGCCCAGGTATCTGTCTCCTACTGAAGATACTTTTCTGGAGATTCCATCCAGTGAATTTTTATTTGAAGATCTTTGACCAGAACTTCGTCTCATGGTCACAAGACATAGGGAGGCAGAGTCTTTTAGCTGGGCTCTGCCACTAAGATATTGTGTATTTAAGTAGTTATCTCTGCCTCCAGAAGTCAAAAGATACTTCTACTTCAGACCCCAAGAGCGTGAGCTTCTGTTGACAATACTGATGGATGGAATTTAAGTTTAAGGCATTTTTTTTTTTTTATCCTCACCCGAGGACATTTTTCCATTTTTTGCTCAGGTAGAGTGGGAGGGAGAGAGAGGAACAGAGGGAGAGAGAGGAACAGAGAGAGAGAGAGAAACATCGATGTGAAAGGGACACATCGAGTGGCTACCACCCACACAACCGACCAGGGCCGGGGACAAACTGCAACCGAGGTACGCGCCCTTAGCGGGAACCGAACCCGGGTCTCTCAGGACCGCAGGCCGACGCTCTAACCGCTGAGCCAAACCGGCCAGGGCGATGGATGGAATTTAAAATGGAGCAATTTCCCCACTGATGATCTAAGTCAGAATTCAGAGGCTGGCCGCTCCCCATCCCCAACCAGAGCCCACCTTCAACTTTCCCTTGACTTTACCCCCTCATATTAAGGTCATTTGGATACATTCTGTTCTCTTTCCTGAAGAATAAGGAATGTGGTGTTTTTCTTTTCTCTTTATTGATTTTAGAAAGAGAGGAAGGCAGAGAGAGAGAGAGAGAGAGAAATATCGATGAGAGAGAACATCGATTGGCCGCCTCCTTCATGCCTCCCCACCCCCATACTGGGGATCAGGGCCACAACCTGGGCATGTGTCCTAACAGAGAATCGAACCGGCAATCTCTTGGTGCATGGGTCAACGCTCAACCACTGAGCCGCACAGCCGGGCTTTTTTTATTTTGGGTTTTGTTTTTTTTGCTTTTATTACTCAAAGGAGCTTCAGGTTTTTTGGGTTTTTTTTTAGCTTTCTGACTCTGGGCTTGTGCCTTCAGTACTTTCCCAATGATTTTCTGCCCCTCAATAAGGAAAACACGCTCGACCCTGTCACAGACTCCTGTGGCACACCTGGGCCCACGCTCGACCCTGTCACGACGCCTTTGGCACACCTGGGCCCACGCTCGGCCCTGTCACGACGCCTTTGGCACACCTGGGCCCACACTCGGCCCTGTCACGGACGCCTCTGGCACACCTGGGTCCACGCTCGACCCTGTCACGACGCCTTTGGCACACCTGGGCCCACGCTCGACCCTGTCACGACGCCTCTGGCACACCTGGGCCCGCCACAGGCCCTGCTGCCATGTCTTCTCGTTTCAGACGACCTCACTAGGACTTTAGGTCTCACGGCTCGAACTCCACGAAGTTGGCCTGGGCACACGCCACACGCAGACCCTGGTGCTTCCCCAACCTCCTTGGTGTAAAGGTGAACAACTCTATCACCAGGGGTTCGGGACAGCCTCGTCTTGTTAGACGCCGTGTTGTAGGACAGCCTCCGATGGTGTGTCAAACGCTGCACCGTTGTGAGTGCCGTCACACAGGTCAGAGAACTGAGTGCCAGATCCTGGCTCCCGCAACTCCACATGGCGGCCGACTGCAGGGACTAACTGCAGGGAGAATGAAAGCAGCCGTCTTTTTTGTTGTTTTGTTTAAAGTACGTGTAGTATATTTCTTAGTGGCCACCCAAAGATATCAAGTCCTTATTCTTGCAACTTTCGAATGTCACCTTATTTGGACAAAGGGTTCTTGCAAATGTGCTTACATTAAGGGTTTGGAGCTGGCCTTGCTCTGGGTTATCTAAATAGGCCCTAAATGCCAACACAAGTATAGTTCTGAGAGACAGAGGAGAGGAGAGGAAGCAGTGTGACTGGGAGGTGGAGATTGGAGTGATACAGCCAGAAGCTGAGGACACCCGAGCCACCAGAAGCTGGAAGAGGCAGGGAACAGATATTCCCCCGTCACAAGGAGGTGGCCTTGCCAACACTTTGATTTTGGACTTCTGGCTTCCAGAACTTGAGAGAATACATTTCTGTTGTTCCAAGCCACCTGATCTATGGTGCCTTGTTATAAGAGCCCTAGCAAATGAACGTAGCAATGCACCAGCCTGGGGGGATTTTTGAGTTAACGGCACATCTTATACTACAAAAACTAATGGATTACATTTTAAAAACAATTAAATTGTTGAAAAACCAGTAAAGAATGGAAAATATATCTCATTCGTGAGACTATAATGATGTTTTAGTTAAAGAAATTTTGAGAAATCTCAGTGGAAAAAAGCAACAATTTCACCATATAAAATTGTTAAGCCTTTAAAATAAAAATGACAAACTAACCGGTGTGGCTCAGTGTTGAGTGACGACCCATGCACCCAGAGGTCACGGGTTTGATTCCCAGTCAGGACACATGCCCAGGTTGTGGGCACGATCCCCAATAGGGGGCATGCAGGAGGCAGCCAATCAATGTTCTCTCTCATTGATGTTTCTATCTCCCTCTCCCTCCCTCACTCACTCTAAAATCGATAAAGAAAACATTTTTAAATAAAAAAAGTTCAGCAGGGCTGATCAAACAGATCTGTGACTGCCCATTGCCTCTGCCTCCCAGTCACAGGTTTAGCCTGTCCTGGTCCCAGCAGGTGTCTCTGTGACCAGCTTGGCTCTGACCCCGTCTGTCCTCATAGCCACGATGGCCGACATGAGGCGACTGTGTTCATAGAATGTGGTAGATAAACATGATGAAATACCGTTCAACTACTTTGAAAAACGAGGAAGCTTATGTCAAAATATGTGAAAATATTTCACAGCACAAACAGCCTCAATGACCACAAGGGGACAGATTTAATGGGCTGTGGCAGATCGACACAATGGAACATTACAGTAGCTATTTAAAAAAGGGAAATTGTGAAGACCATGTAGGAACATGGAAAGAATGTTGGATATGGTGATAAGTAAAAATAGCTGATTCGGAGTTAAATATGTGAACAGACTATATAAAAGCTTTCTCTATTTCTCATTCCTATGATGTTATATACTTTTGTCACGAGAAAAAGTGAATGTATACAAATAGAAAGTGACATGGAAAATTTTTTGAGTGATGGTGAGATGAGCAATTCAAACTTTATTTTTCATGAGCATTATCTTAGTGTTTCTTTTAGTAAGAGGAGCAAAGCTTTGAACAGATAATACATTTCAACATTAAGAGAACTCTTCCAAACCAGCAGAGAAAGAAATCTTTCTTGAGCCTCTTCAAAAACATTGTTCCAGGTTCTGGTGGTAAAGGATTAAGAACCAGCCTGGGTGCCTGCTCTTGAGTTGCCCACACTCTTGCCTCCATCCTAGTGGAGACTGCCTGTGAAGATGACTGTCCCCAGTTCCTCCGTTTCTGCACACGCTCCCCACCATCAAGACACAGAGACTGTTTACCTCCCCTGAAATCTGGGCTGGCCCTGGGACTTGCGTTGACAATAGAATGTGGTCACACAATATGATTTCTGAGCCTGGGCCAGAAGAGCCTTCCTGCTTCTGTATTTTTAAAAAATATATTTTTATTGATTTTTCAGATAAAGAGGAAGGGAGAGGGGAAGAGAGATAGGAACACTGATGAGAGAGAAACATCGATGGGCTGCCTGCTGCATGCCCCATACTGGGGATCGAGCCCACAACCTGGGCATGTGCCCTGACCGGGAATCAAACGGGCGACCTCTCGGTACTTGGGATGATGCTCGATGTACCGAGCCACACTGGCCGGGCTGCTTCTGTATTTTTTGCCTTAATGGAGCTTGCTGCCACGTAAACAAATCCAGCTGTTCGTGGCCTCTAGGAGAGAGGTGCTGGAGGAGAGAGGGTTCAGCTCAGTGAGCCCCTGCCTCTTCCAGCTGCCCCAGCTGAGGTGCCAGATGTGTGAGGGGAGCTGTCTCATAGACTCCAGCTCCGGTGGAGCCATCCAGCCAAGACCACGTGGAGCAGAGACAAGCCGTCTACACTGAACCCTGCTCAAATGGCAGAACTACAGGCAGACAGATGCTTGTTGTTGTTTTCAGTTACCAAGTTTCGGGGTGTTTTGTTACATAGCAGTAGCTAACTGAAACAACTCTCATCTTGGATAGACTGCAGGACTTTGGGACCCGGGCTTTCCATCCCCTTCCTAGCACAAAGCCTGGCACTTCAGTGACTGTGGGTGGATGGAGTCGGGTGAGAGAGAAGAGAGAAGCAGAACAGGAATACTAGTAGCTAACTTTTAGTCAGCACATTATAAATCCTTTCTACCCGCCACTTAGTTATTCTGCATCAATACAGTTGAGAAAATGCGGCACAGAGAGCAGGACAACTAACTCCACCCGGGTCACTCCCCGTGACATGCTTGGGTTTCAAACGCAGGCAGCCCAGAGCCTGTGCGCTCAACTATTTGTACACGAGCTCACAGAAGAACATGATGATGAAGACTAAGGAGCCTAAATGCTGGCTCTCGACAAGCCCCTTCCTGCGTATAGAGAGAAGCAGGACGGGATCATTACCTGGTGAGGGCCTGTGGCCGAGGGGTGTTCCTGGGCTGGGGGAGCCTGTGGCTGGATTCAGGAGCCCCGACTCCAAGGTCATTCTGCCCCAGAAATGCCCAAGAGCGGGCTGGCTCCACCCGCAGCCTCCCGAACACAGATTTCCGGAATTCAGGGGTCCTCATGGGCTTACTCGTGTAGCTGGGATATGGAGAAAGTTAGACAGAGAAACTTCACATCGGTTTCAACTTTATGTGACGCTATGCTGGGGAGACGGTGAATCTTGAGAGGCCTGAAGCACCTAAGCTCGGGGCTGGGCAAAGGGCAGCTCGTGGCCCAGCGCGGCTGCTACGCGGGAGTGCGGCTTCGGAGCTAAGGGTGTTTTCCAGTGGTGAAGGTTTATATTTCCAATGAGAGTTTTCTGATATTTAACAGCTAAAAAAACCAAAAGAATAATTCTACTTTGTGGCAAGGTAAAAATCATGGGAAATTCACATTTTATTTCCCATAAATAAAATGTCATCGGAATGCAGCCACACTCGTTTACTTATGTGAATGGCTGACTTCACGCAATGACAGAGCCACAGACTGTATGACCCAAAACCCAAACTTAGGGACAAGGTAGCCTTTTCCAGGAAAGCTTGCCAACCCCTAGTCTAGATAATACTTCATATATTGACATGATCTTAGACAGCCTGTTTTCTATATGATTATAAATAACTCAAAATAGTATGGTGTTGACAAGGTTTAGGGGTAAATAAGCTAAACATGAAATACTAGAATGTTAGAGAGATGCTTTTCCTGGTACTAGGTTGAGGATCTAACGACGAGGTGATGGGCAGAGCTAGGACACTGGCATGACCTTAGCTGGACCCTTCCGCCTCCCTTAGCTTTACAGTGTCTCCATCCTCTGTAGCTGCTGGGCTCCTATTCAATTGTCTGCATGGTGAAGGCAAACCCATTGTTAAAAACAGAAATACTTTATGCCATGTGGTGACCAACTGAGCTCCCAGCAGGTTCCCTGTTAGCCTCGGCCCTTCCCCACACATTCCCTTCCCCCACCTTCCCCACCATCTCCCTGAGATTCAGCACCTAAAGGGTTAACAGTGAGGCTGATCCTGTGCCCTCTCTATGGTTGGGCTGGGCCTGTGCCTTATGGTTACTAAATATTTTATTTTCTTTATTTTTTAATCCTCACCAGAGGATATTCTTTTCATTGATTTCTAGATAGAGTGGAAGGGAGGGAGAGAGAGAGAACGAATCGTTGACTCAAGAGAGACACATTGATGGGTTGCCTCCCGCATGACCCCAACCAGGGCCGGGGATCAAACCTGTAATAGAGGTACGTGCCCTTGACAGGAATCGAACCTGCGACTCTTCGGTCTTTGGGCTGATGCTCTAATCACTGAGCCAAACCAGCCAGGGCAAGTATTTTAAATATTACCCCTTTCAGGTGCCCCATGCAACATACTTACAGGATGTATCCATTTTCTTCTACAAACACATTTTCAATCCTTGGGCTTCAAAATCTATCTTCTATAATCGTCATGATCTTAAAGTTCTGATCTTTTGTCAGACCTGAGTTCCCAAGAGAGCAATTAAAATGAAAAAACAAAACAAAACAAAAAAATCTTCCCGAAGTCAGTGATGGGAAGGAAGGCAAGAGCGTGACTATCCAGGGGCTGCCCACTGGATTTTGTGCCACACAGGACTCCAAGGCGGAGTGGAAAGAGCTCGTTAGCCTGGTTGTCTGGCCAACAGGATTGATTCTGACAAAGCCCACTCCCAGAATCCTCTCGGCAACTTCAGACATTAGTGCATCTTCACGTTAATGCATCTTCCAAAACATGCTTGCCTTCACCACACGGATGCCCACAGGAACAAGAGTGAAAGAGAGGAGGGTGGTCTCAACAACGTGGGGCATTGCCGGCTGGAGCCTGCCAGACTTGGGCACATCCCACCCTGTCACCACACTGGACCAAGGAGAACTGGATTCAACCAGCAGACTCTCCTGCAATTCAAACCTGCTCAGGGAAGGCATCCTTAGTTGCCACTCTCCTGGACTCAATTCCCATTTGTTTGTATGCAAATAACCC